CAAGGGCGGCGCGGGGGTGGCCGGGCTGCAGCCGCCTCCTTGGGCCGAGACCACTTGGATCTACCACGACGGCGAGGACACCAAGATGATCGTGGGGGAGGAGAAGAAGTTCCTGCTGCCCTTCTGGCTGCAGGTGATCTTCATCTCGCTGCTCCTGTGCCTGTCCGGCATGTTCAGCGGCCTCAACCTGGGGCTCATGGCCCTGGACCCGATGGAGCTGCGCATCGTGCAGAACTGCGGCACCGAGAAGGAGAAGAACTATGCCAAGCGCATCGAGCCCGTGCGAAGGCAGGGCAACTACCTGCTGTGCTCGCTGCTGCTGGGCAACGTGCTGGTCAACACCACGCTCACCATCCTGCTAGACGACATCGCAGGCTCGGGCCTTGTGGCGGTGGTGGTCTCCACCATCGGCATCGTCATCTTCGGGGAGATCGTCCCGCAGGCCATCTGCTCCCGCCACGGCCTGGCCGTGGGGGCCAACACCATCTTCCTCACCAAGTTCTTCATGATGATGACCTTCCCCGCGTCTTACCCGGTCAGCAAGCTGCTGGACTGCGTCCTGGGCCAGGAGATAGGCACGGTCTACAACCGTGAGAAGCTGCTAGAGATGCTCCGGGTGACTGACCCCTACAACGATCTCGTTAAGGAGGAGCTGAACATAATCCAAGGGGCCCTGGAGCTCCGCACCAAGACGGTGGAGGACGTGATGACTCCCCTCCGGGACTGCTTCATGATCACCGGCGAGGCCATCCTGGACTTCAACACCATGTCGGAAATCATGGAGAGTGGCTACACGCGCATTCCAGTGTTTGAGGGAGAGCGCTCCAACATCGTGGACCTGCTCTTTGTCAAGGACTTGGCCTTCGTGGACCCGGATGACTGTACTCCCTTAAAAACCATCACCAAGTTTTATAACCACCCCTTACACTTCGTTTTCAACGACACCAAGTTAGACGCGATGCTGGAAGAATTTAAGAAAGGTGGGGAATTTTGGTTTCTTTCATAGGCTTCCTCTTTCTCTCTCCATCCTCCTCCCTACTTGAGTCCTCTATTCTTGGACCAACC